TTTACGTATGTGGAACGAATTTTGTTGATTTGTCGAATGAGCCTAAATTTAACCTATGGTTCATCCACAAGAAACTTACTACAATTCTATAAGTGATGTCCTGTTTGAAAATAAAAGTTCTCGAAATATTGACCATGTATATGTCTTGGTGGTGTTACATTGTAACATTAAAATTTTAGTTCATTTGTAGATAGTTTGTTTGGCTACTTACTAAAAATTAAACTAGAAATTTTGTGTGGATATCATACTTTTCTACGCACTATTGTGGCACACGCATACAAGTGAGTCAGGATTGTTAGAAGGTGACCAAGCTCTTTAGTAGACAGGTCAGAGGTCAAAGTTGGAGGACACTAACTGGCCAAACGAGACTGGGTATATCAAGTGGTACGTGGTAGAATCACGGGGTCGCTTAATGGGTTGCATCAAGTCCCACTGTGGCTGTGACAATTGGAAGAGTAGTAACCAGAAGTCTACAATGTCAAGTCTTACTCGACGAACGATAAAAATCTAAACAGAATCGTCGAACCACAATCTAGTGTCACTGGACGAAACCGTTAAACGACAAATGAAACGTTACAAAGATACAACCAACCACCGTGTAGTTGAGATATGATCACAGCGGCCTTGTAAGCGATACAGTTGGTGATGCACAGCCCAGATGATATCTCAACACAGCTGACAGATGTACGGGTTTGTTGACTTGCTTTTCGGTTGCCTCATGGCTCGGATAACCAACCTCAACACAACCGTCGTACTGCGTGATTAACGTTATTGGATTTGGACAGACTCCTCATCCCATTGTAAATTTTGAAGCTTGTTTTTTGAGTCTAGTTCATGTACGTCCACACTGATCGCTAGTGTAGACAACATTTTGTTTCTATTATTTTAGGATTATTTTCATGATTTGTGCTTTACTATTTGGTTATATAACTAGGAGACCAGTTATTGTTTATGATTATATCGTTTTATTAGGTTAAACGAGGTTTTAAATGACTGCAATAACAAGAAACAAATTGTAAACAAAACATAACCTCTATAGTTGGACGTACAGAACTAACAATAAAATTGGCTTCAGCTGTTCCATTAGGATGACTAATCTAGTTGTATTATGGTATGTTAACATGTTGTTAAGGTCCAACACTCTCTCAGCGGAGTCCTAAGTGTCCACCAAGTCACTGGACGATCGTCGATTCCACAAACATTTTTGGATGGTTTGAAGAATCAAATGAACCAATTGTTTTTTGATCACTCTTCACAATGTTTCTTATGAGTCATGCATTCAATCTTTGACTATTAATATTCAATTCTGTAGCAAAACTAGTGTTCATTTGTGTTTATTTTTGTATAACTAGCTATACGTTTTTTTTTTTATTTCGTAAGGGAAAGCACAATAGTATCTAACATCCACATCATCATTAATTTATCTCGATTGGAATTGTACTATCGAACTTCAGATTGAAGGCAAGAACTACCCCAAGCAAGCTACACGCAAGTTTTATCTTAACTTAAAATTCGTTACTAATTACTCAAATACATTTCTCTCTTTTGACAAATTCTGCGTTTCCTGGAGTACATTAGCAATCATAGTCATATTTGTTCTTTAAAAATACTTGATCAATTTTATTTGTAAAAATCGAAGAATCTGTTGCTTGGTATTTAGTCATTTTCTCGGTAAATCTTGATTTACGTGATTATAATAGTTAGCAGACCTTTAAGATTCAAACATAAACATTACATGATTCTACATCATGCATTGAATGGAAACTTGAAGAACAAGGAAAACACTAGCAACGGCATTTCCATGAGGAATCGATTAGAATTCAATCAGCGTATGCATGTTTACTCTACAAGGAAAACAAGCCCTTAACGAGTTGGAGAATTTACTTCGAAAAATATGTATATTCTTACTCTAAGTAATTGTGTTAGTTAATAGAGCCAATAACAGTAAAGCATTCTCCAAATTTGGAAATATCAAAGTATATTATTTGACTGTTATTTCAGTAGTTTACAGCCATAATTTAATCACATTTGGAAATTGATTGTTGGACAGAACTTCTCCAATGAAAGACGTGGTTTAATTCTAGTATAAACTATAAACATACCATCGATAGTTGGTGTCAGCTATGTGTTGAAACGTATATTTAATATGCAATCATCATTAGAAACTGCGCTACTATTAAAGTAGAATTAGTATTCAGCTGGTGGTCGGCGTTTTGAGCTCGGGTTTATTTTCTTGCCCTAAACTGGGCCAAATACTGTTATTAGCACCCAGTTTTACACCCATAAAACCTTCGGTGAACAAATTATCCCGACACGTGTGTTGCCACATGTTCAAATGGTGACAAATTACATAGGATAATTACTTAGTGCTGTTGCTTAACTTTAGTAACTAACAAAAGTTGAAGTGCTACAAAATATTTTTTATACACTAAACTAAGTTAAGTAATCGATTAAGACAAGTTAATAATTATATCCATTGATTTATTTTGTGTTATTCACTAAAAAGGTATGAGAAAATTAGCTAAAGACACATCAGACATAAAATTAAGACAGCTTGAGAAAACTCACTAAAACTTAAATTTAAACAACATTTGGTCTAAATTTGAGATAGTATACATTTTTTTCCCCTTTTATCAATATATTTTTAATTCCTTATGAATTATGTATTTTCGATTTTTACCAAACCACCTGATACTAGAGTTATAAACACATTATTTGCTTTTGTTGTTTGTTTTTGTTTCTGATTAAGCTTTAAGCTTAATGGAGCTTACTGTGTTAAGTGTGTTAATAGTTCATTTTTTTTAAATAGCCGTTTGTTAATACTACGAAGAATCAATGTTGAAATATTTTGGTAACTATCGTTTTATACACTTTTTATTTTGTATTATCACTCTGAAAAACAAGTTTGATGAGTTACTCTTCGAGTCTATCTTGTATTATGTAAACTTTATTAATAGAACTGGCACAGTATTATCACAGACAATATAATACTTTAATGGTTTATTCCATTGTCTGTGGTATTATTTTAGGTGAATGTCCTCACTATTGCAACGAAACAATTCTCTGAACAATCTTCAATATGTAAACATTTACAAGGCGGCAACACATACATACAAAACATCTTTTACGCCACACTACACTATTTTGACGAACTTTATTATGCTGTATTATAAACAAAAACATAACCTCTGACTAGTGATTATTAGTCCTTTAGTTGGTTTGGTGGTAATATATAAGGATTTGTACAGATTTAGTAGCAAGGCATAAACTATCGCACGTCCAAAATGTGTTTACCGGACTCGTATGGTAATCCCGTAATCGACATGTCTCGCACGGGAACGACCACGCTCGTCCGGTAAACACTTATTTTCAGGACTAGTAACGTAATATACTATTTTATAATAATAGATAGGTGAGATAGGTACAAAAAAAAGCTACAACGACGATCTATATCAACCACTCATCTGGTCCAATCGAATATGCTGTAATATACTTGAAACATACACATTGAAGGACGTTTTTCGCGTCATGACGAACTTAATATGGTTACCTAATAAAATGGTGGAACTTCATGAAAGATTTAATTGAAATAAATTAGCTACAACGGCCAACACTCACATGTTGTCCCCTAAACTAGTTTAAACTGCGAGTTCACTTCAGACAGTCTTGAAACTAAACGAGTCTAAAATATTGTCATCCAATAAAGTTTTACGGACTCTAGAAAGGTTTTAGTTTCGCCAGTATCTCCTGGGGAGTGGATTGAACCATAAACGTGTCAGCAGGGCTCCGGACCCTCTATAAAGCACCAAACCGAGCGAGCTTTCGCAACGAAACTGGCCTAGAAACGTCTGTGAACTCTTGCTTTGTCTTGCGGTAAATAAACATGCTACGATCTGAGGATATTTGGTAATATTACTTTTGAGTTGGGGAGTGGTGTTTCCGGTTCCTAGAAGTATCAGAATCGACTTGTAAGATTGTTTTATCGTTGGTAGTTTGTGAAAGTGAATCATTGTGTTGGATGGTTTCAATTTTAGATTGTTTTGTATGGATTTGTGAATTAGGTAACTTATTTGATTTACTTTGTGTAGCTAATTCATTAAATTTACAAATTTGTGTATAAATTGAGATTAGAGATTTTAAATAAATAAATTAGCCTATTTGTGTAGTTCAAAAACTTGTGGGTACAATCTAAACGGCATTTATTAACAAAAGTAATGCTGTTTAAATTGTCTATTGTTTTAGAACACACCAACAGTCGAATACCAAAGATGACCTCATTTATTGCGTTAAACGCGTTTATTAAGTATGTTATAAAAAATATGCATTTTTCAAGCTTATTACAATACTGTTTGCCACAAAATAACCATTAATATTGTTCTGGAGTTTTTACTTTGACCCTGTTATGGAACTCTTTGGTTGATCAAATATTGACAAGAACCGCTTCCTTTGATCACTGGAACTATGACTAGTGTTTGTGTTACATATCTTAATGTAAAAAAACTCAACCAAATCTTTTAATATTTCAATATTTTCTCTGCGATAAAGTTAACTTTCGTCGTGTTATTGGGATAATGTCGTTGTAGGTTTATCACAATGTTATTGTAATACTAAAATTAAGCTACTTACATTGTTACTTTCATGATAGTGTAAAATGTGTATGGTCAGTACATTTTTCGACGTTGTAGAATTTACCTCTTGATTGAGTTTGTCACTTACCGTCTCAGATCGAGTAGTTCGTGATCATTTCTAACAGGTTTGTCTTATAGAAAGTTTAGATTTTGTTTTATTTTTGAGGTGATATTGCTAGGTTGTTGACAAATCATTACTGAACATTAACATAGTTCTGATAGTTAACTGCAAGTAATTCAGTGGGAAAATTGATCTTAATAAAAATTTGTTCATGATGATATTGTGATATGGTGGTATAGTGGTAATATTGTGGTACAGTAATGATATACCTGTGGTAGTTTAGTGGTGTAATAGTGTGGTGTTTGTTTCAGATGACACTCCCGCCACAGCGTCAAGGTCGTGAGGATTACGTAAGTAACATTTAAAGCCTACTGATAACACGACGTACAGCGTATTGTCTCTGATAACGGGCGAGGTTTATCAACTTGCTATTGACTGAGGCAGTTAAGCTTTCCTCGTATCCTATTGACGTGTTTTGAACCAGCTTAATAGACTGAAATTATATGTAAAGTTACTTTGGAAAATTGTAATGAAATTAAAAGAGGATGGGAATGGTGGATTCCAAATTTGAGGATCAAGAAGTTACCAATAACAGTTTAATGAGTTTTGACTTTAAAAAAACCAAACCTATACACAATCCTTGTACGAAAACCCGCGTTTTTAAAAAACTCCACTATTTATCAATTCATTTAGTTTGAATGTTAACATCGTTATGGTACATCTTTCAATTGTATCTCCTATCGCTGCCACACAAAAGTGCGCACTCGAATAAGAGGGTAAACGGTCCTTATTGGTTTTTATGTCAGGAAAAAAAAGAATCGTACTGTTCAAAAGGTCTTTTCCGTAAAATAATCTATAAAACTCAAATAATATTACATCGATTATCATTTGGAGCTGGATCACAAAAGGTTAAAGTACTGGTTAAAAGCATCACAAAATAACGAAGCAACCTCAAAAGCTCAAAATACGCGCAGTCATTGAACTTGCTCGGTTTGAGTGGTTTTCTCTCTAATGCCGGGCTATTACACTTTACACTACCTCTATGAAAGTGTTAATATGTTTACAGAAGTGTTCTATTTACAAACACTGTTCCGTGCGGTCCCGGCCCCGCTGCAGCTGGTGCACTGTTGTCACATTACACATTGCATCAGGGAAGAGATGTTCCTGTGTGTAGTTGAAAGATGGCTGGGTAACTACTGATTTAATGGTGAACTCATAGATTTAAGTTTCTTAAGCTTCGTCCTAAGGTTTGCCGTAAAAAGCCACCATCTTGCAGCCTCAATTATATGAAAAATGTTTATTATGGTGCATAAAGTATCCACTGATTCTCCTTTTAATAACGTTGACATAACGTTGTATCAGCCAAATATTATAGGTAGTCATTACTGTAAGGCCTATTTATAGGACATTGTGGGTTTTCTATCTTTGAGGTTTTAAGCAAATTTCACAAGGGACGGTCTTACTTTGCAACCTTTAATAGGCCTTTTAAACTTTGTTCTGTTCAGAGAAAACAGAAATGATTAATAGCCGAATAACAGAGTGGTTCAGTTATTATCTCTTTCATTGCCTTAAATAGCAAACTTTTAATTTTAAGGTGAGCACTAGCAATATTACGTATCCATCTATGTAATCTTTTGTTGGTTTGCTGTATCGATATCAAACGAAAATCCCCATCCACTTGTACTACATATTAGATTCATACGACGCCACCAAAGTGCATAAGGGTGAAAAGGAGTGAATGATAATTTGTTGAATGAATAAAAACAAATTACTATGATCAGCTGTTTCTATAGCCAGCCCCTTATAGGCTACGGAAAGCCGAATGATCAAAAGACAGCTGAGCTCTGTTTGGAACTATCAAAAAGCTTCTTACCTATCATGATCCACCTTTATCGATGTGTTCAACAATATTCAGACTCAGCAAGCATAGAGATAAAATCCGAGATTTCAATTAATGGGCAATCCTTGTAATCATCCATCATCATTTCAACCGGGATGTATCTTCTGTGGGTCCATTACCGCTGGCCACCCAAGCTTGATCGGACAAACACAAACCATCAATTCCCATTAGCAGAGGCACTGTGATCAGCTGACTCAAGGTCACGAGTTGACCTCATGGGGGGCCACAGCCGCTCCTAAATGGCTGCTAAACGGTGTCCAAAATACACAAGTTTTATGAACGGTGTAAAAGACGTTAGGCGATTATAGCTGTGGGGTAATTGGTGGGGATATATCAATGCGATTTTAAAAATCGGAGAGTCGTTAGATGTTTCGTAGTTTCTATGGTGAATTTATATTCATTTTTTTCCATTTCAACGCCATTAGCTTAGGAATTAAACACAGTATTTAGAATCCATATGTATGTGTTTTAAATGCAATATCTGAACATCCTGGAAGTTAGACGGTTGATCTTAAAGATACTTCTATACTTGATGAAGAAGAGTTTTGCTGGGTACTGTCTAGGGTTTGTCATTGAACAAAATTTGTAATCATATAAACTGCATATAATACTTATGACTAAAGTGCAAACCACACATTGTAGAATATACCTTAAAATGGTAGAGAACATTTAGTCCAGACCATTACGCTTGTTTTCATCAAAACTAAACACATATCAAAACAGGCCTCAGAATTACAATACCTATCCTGTAACCAGGATCTATTCTGACACCAGAGCCAATCTCCTTTGGGTACATCTTGACACCTCCTAGAGGGCGCTCTTTTATTGTTCCCGGGCCGTGATTATGGAGTGTTTGTTCCTTTTACCTTAACAAATTAGCCTACCCGACAATCTAAGTCAAATAAGGATCGTCCGTCTAATCCTGCCTATTAAGTCTCCCACCGACGAGGAATGTGTTAAGTTCCTCTCTTGTTGATGCTGATAAGGGCGGACACATCTTTGAACTAATGACTTGTCCCTACAACTCAGTTTGTTCGGCGCTGCCATAAAACAAACCGTAGACACGAGTCTGATAATTCTTTGTTTGGGCAATCTGGAGACGCCCAGGACTGCCTCAAGGCAGTAGATTGGGTCCTACATGTTTTAAAAAAAATACTTTTCTGTGAATGACTTATTTTGTTTTTTATATCAGATGCGATGTGTTAGTGAACTTAACGTGTCTTAATGTAAAGTAAATCTTAAATATACCTTTACCTAAGGTGTTATCTTATTTCGGGAGTTGTTCGTTTGCTAGCGCTAGGGGGTTGACTAGTTGACTAGGAACACATACATTGGTATGTACAATACTAGTTTTAAAGGGTTTACTGTCGTTTCCTTTAGCTATCAAAAGTTATGGCTACCATCGAAGGTTTCAAACACACACTGCAAACGTTTAATGATTTGAGTTATTATTATGACGCAGTTGTATGACTAGGCTACTGGTGATAGAGGAGTAGTTCATGCTGGCTACAGCGTGATAAAAACTAATTTGGATTTACGATGCTTTGTCAGTATTTCAAAAGATAACAAGCAGTGTTAATATAGCTTTAAAAGACTCAGTTTAGAAAATACATCAAATCTGAATGATTGATACGACCCAACATAGAGGGAAAAAATCTATCCTGGGTGGATTATTTACTCTGCTGTTCAAGTTTGTGGGTATACGATGTATTGGCATGCAGGACATTGGAACTTTATGTGATAAAATTATCCCCAACTTGACTGTCATGTAGTGTGAGCTGAAGTGAAATACCCAGTGGGTGATTTTCTCCATGTTTGACTTGCACTCTGGTTTGCTAATGCCTCTGAGAGCTCTCGACGCTCCATGTGGCACTGTGGCGCATCTGCAGGATACGTCAACACACGTGTGCATGTGTCGCACAAACTTCCCTTCCGATACTGAAATAGACGCTACACTGCAAACAGGGAAATGAGGACGTGTCGAAAGCCGTCAAACATGTTGTGATTTCTGTAGTTACATTTCCGCTAGTGTGAATTTGATCTTGTCCTTCCAACGATGTCAACCGTGGAAAACATTCAACACGTGGCTCAGTGATATTCATATAATTCTGGGTAAATGATTTTGCAATTTCTTGTCTTGTATTTTACAATTAGTAATTAGCTTTAGGCATTGTTGCTTCCCTAGTAAACTCGATATGTAAAGTGGTCTCGGTATTATAACATCAGCTCATAAGTCTCACACCTAATTCCGCATTCTGATTTGGGTCACTATATTTTAGTGAACTTTAACAAGTATCTTTTTGTCACAGTTTCCCCAAGGTTCTTTGCGTATCCGCGGTGTCGCGGTCGCTCCAAGGTCCAAGGTGACTATTGGTATTCCAGAGACTCCTGAGAGACAATGGCGACATTTAACATTCCTACTGCCAGGTGCTGAGACCAAGGACGTTCTGATAGAACTGATCATCCTTGCGAACTGACTCTATCTATCGTACATCTCAGATGTGGTGACTATTGGTATTCCAGAGACTCCTGAGAGACAATGGCGACATTTAACATTCCTACTGCCAGGTGCTGAGACCAAGGACGTTCTGATAGAACTGATCATCCTTGCGAACTGACTCTATCTATCGTACATCTCAGATGTGGTGACTATTGGTATTCCAGAGACTCATGAAAGACAATGGCGACATTTAACATTCCTACTGCCAGGTGCTGAGACCAAGGACGTTCTGATAGAACTGATCATCCTTGCGAACTGACTCTATCTATCGTACATCTCAGATGTGGTGACTATTGGTATTCCAGAGACTCCTGAGAGACAATGGCGACATTTCACATTCCTACTGCCAGGTGCTGAGACCAAGGACGTTCTGATAGAACTGATCATCCTTGCGAACCGACTCTGTCTATCGTACACCTCAGATGAGGTGACTACTGGTATTCCAGAGACTCATGAAAGACAATGGCGACCTGACACATTCCTACTACCAGGTGCTGAGACTAAAGGACGTTCTGATAGAACTGATCATCCTTGCGAACCGACTCTGTCTATCGTACACCTCAGATGAGGTGACTACTGGTATTCCAGAGACTCATGAAAGACAATGGCGACATTTCACATTCCTACTGCCAGGTGCTGATACCAAGGACGTTCTGATAGAACTGATCATCCTTGCGAACTGACTCTGTATATCGTACATCTCAGATGAGTTAACTACTATCATTGAATTTATATACCTAGTCAATGCTACTATTTTGAGCCGTGTACCCTGAGGTAACTGCAGAATTATTATTCGCTTTTCTGGTATATTCTCTGAAGGTTCTTTAATATAACCGGTTCGGATCGTCAATGTGTCCTTTAGGTCAGTGATCTGCTTTTTAAGAATATTTGTAGCCGTATTGGTTCATACACTAGATTTCCAGCGTTATCTTCTAGGAATTAACTCATAT